CCAGGGATGGGGCTTTTACAACCTCCTTCTTTGTTTCATTAGATTGCACTCATATGATCAATCAGGTCCTCACAGTGGTAACATGAATTGCCTTCCTAAATCTTCCTCACTCCAACCAGTACTGTTAACAGGCTAGCTCTGAACACTTTCCACATTTGAAATTTTCAAGACAGCAATCACCATATATAACACAAAGCTGCAACACAAAACTGCTTAAGGAATCAAAGTTTTGTCACAGCTTTCTTTAATAAACCCACCTCAAACATAATTTTCATCTTTTCACAAAGGCTTTTAAAGAACTGGTAAAGTTAATTCTACAGCATGCAATAAAACACATCCTTTCATTTATCTTATATTACGGAACATCAGTAATCACCAAATACTTGCTAGTGAATTACTGCTACATTTTTAAAGATAATTTCACTCTTCTCTAAAATTCACAGCAGATCAGCCAGAAGTCCTGAACTGAGATGAATATCTGCACATAAATTAGAGGTCTGAACTGGCTTTAGGTACTACGAGCACCCTGACAGTTTCAAGTTCTTTTAACTGTTACGCATGTATAAGGAAGAAAGCAGAAAGCCTTAAGCACTAAACCTGCTGAGTCTTTCCATATTTTCAAAATCCATATGGACCAGAATTGCCACCTAAAGCCAAATCACATCACTGCTTATAAGGTAATGCAAGACCACCCCACAATGTGGTGTGGGCTCCATCTAGTGGAGTTCAGCTTCACTCAGTACCACTAAGGCTGAACCTCTGCATAAGAAGAGTAATGAACAGAACTGCAACGTACAATAGAGTATGGAAATCATGCCCCCTCAGAAAACATCCTTTGAGAAAGCTTGATACTCTTGATGTATGCTGTAATTATAAAGATGAAAGTATATATTTAAAAATAAAAAACGTCAGAAAGAGTCTAAAGGCTTGTTCATGTTTAAAGCAAAGGGAAAAAAAAACAAAACACCTGTGCTGTTTTCAGAGTACATCAACACCAATTGTATATTACTCTCAGGCTGAGACCTGAGCACACAAGACCTACCTGTGGACTTGTCTTTCTGAAAGTGTCGGTCCCATGTATCACATCTCTAATTATTCTCTCTCTCAAATTATTGTATTCCTCTTCGGTGAGCTCACTATCTTCCAGCTGATGGTTGCAAACTGGGCACTGTCCACTGCGAATAGTGAAAAAAGAAGATAAAAATAAATAAGAATTATCTTAAATTTTACAATCTTAACGGGCATCTGACTATAAGAACATTTTTAACACAAATCCAACACAATAAAAGAAAATTGGTTGCAGTCTTTCTGGCATGCATCCAAAACTCTGAAGTCACTGTAGCCATTTCTAGATTTTTGTATGATCTTCCAGAACTATGCCACAAGAAAGAATAAGAACCTTTTTAAAGACCCAGCCTTTTTAAGGTTGTTTCATGTTCCACAGCCAGTCTCTGCCTTAACCCACATTCTGAAGGAAATCAAACTGTAACTGTCATTGCTCTCAACCATCATTTTTTTTTCCTAGTTGTTTCCCTCGCTACTTCTCCAAACAAAAGCTGTACACCAACACAATGCACAAATCCATTTTGTACAATCCATACAATCAAAAATGTATGAATCATGCATCATTACCTTGAACCTCTGGAAACTAGAGTATGGGAATTTATATGTATGCAACAAATGTTCATATTGTCAAGGATTAAAAAGTTGTTTTACAGTTATGAAAGAAAAGTTCATCTTATACAAAGACAGCAGCTCATTTTTAAGTAAAACATTGCATTTACCTGTCTTTAATATTGGTCAGGTGTCCTTTCCAGTTCTCTCCTGGTATACTAAAACATACACAGGAAAAGATAAATTACAGCATTAGATTCTCATTTAGCTATACCAGCATTACAGATAACAAAAAAACAAAAAACAAAAAACTATATTTAGTCAATATTTAGAAATAGGCCCACCATCTACCCTGAAGAAAAAAAAAAAACAAAAAACAAAAAACAACCCCACACAAAAATTCATACATAATTCAACAACTTGAAGTACCAAACAACAAATCAGTGTTTAACATGCTGAGAACTGACAACAAGTCCTTCCGTTTACTTTGTCCCCAGATATAAAGATACACAAATAACAAGACTGCGCTGACAAATTCCAAGGTGCTGCCATACACATTCATAAAGCACTCAGAAATCAGATGGAAAAGCAGGAAATCAAGAATTCTATGCAAGTGTAATCCAAAGATTTACAAACACACTCCTAAGAGTAATGTTGGTCATAGCAAAATACTGCACTGAGACTTTCTGATGCCACATCATTATCATCACCTTTGCTATTAACACTGGTGTCACCACACTGGCACAAACGTTCCTTTTTGCCCACAAGATCCAGAACAGAATAGGCTATATGCACAACAGCATGAAATTGCAGATACCTCCCTCTTTGCCACTGCCTTTATTATCTTTGGTTGTACAATTATGTGGAACGGCTATCCCAAAGTCTACAGCACGTCTTGCCTCCTTTCTCATTCTGTATGATGATACACAGAGGTTCTTCAGGTATTTGTTTTTTAACAAAGACAATAGGCAGCATAAAATATTACGATTGTTAGACACTGAGATCACTACTGGATCTGGCTTTACTAACTTGTAAAGTCAGAGATGGACTGCTCTTCAGAAAAATCATTATTGAAAATAACACTTTTTCAGTTACACTCACTTCTGTGATTACTGTAACTTCTGTTTCCTCTGTTAATAAAAGTCCCAATCTGCATTATTTCTGTGATGCTAATGGAGCTCAAAGTTCACAGATCCTACTTTTGTTTGGGAACTCCACATAAACTGCCTATTTATTTTTAAGCCAACAGCTCAAACACTATTTCAAGTATCTTATTAGATTTAATATATGACAATCAAAATTGACCCTCAAGAACTGGAGCTTGCTACTGAAACATTATTTACCTTTCAAACCACAGCTTTATACTCCGCATAAGTGTTTTGTGAGGATATACTTGGTTCTCTCTCAAATATAAGAGGATACCAAACAGCTCTTTTCGTAATGCAGAATTTTTCATACCCCTGCTGTGGTCAAAAAGGGCCTGCAGGACATCCAAGGTTGGCACTAAATCCTTAGCCAACATTTCATGATAAAGTTCACAAGCAAGGGTCATTTCTTGGTGACGGCCAGCTGCTTTGATGCAGGATTCATAGTTTGATCGTGAAGGAACTGTAACCCTTTTAACTTCTTCCAAAAGAGTAAGTGCCATTCTCCACTGATCTGAATTACTCAGTCCTCTGATAAGAAGGTTGTAAGCCCCACTCTCTAAAGTCTTAAATCTGATTTTCAATATGTCGTACACATCACAAATTTCTGAAGTTTTCCCTTGTTGGACACACAGTGCCAGATATTTGACCAATAAATTATACCCAATGTCACCATTACTCTTTGCCACATGAGTCAGTAAGGACTTAGCCACGTCAATGGGGCTGTTGTATCTGATCATACTGTTAAACATCACTTCTTCAAATACTTCTGGGGACTGAAAACTTTCCCTCAGTCTACACCACTCCTCAGCACACAAAGGCCTTTCAGGAGGCTGTACAGTGGCAAACTTATGCCTTGATACAGTGTGATTCGTTAACTGCTTCTTCAAAGCTCCCCCAGAGGAAGAAAAGCGGAGTTTCCCTTCATGTATTTCTTGAGTATCCTCATCCCATCCTTTTTCTTCTTCATAATCAATTTCAGACCTTTTCTTAGCTGGACAGGCATCAGTCCCTTGGGGATCCGCTGGCAAAGCAGTGCTGGAAGATGTCATAAAGTTGAAATAGCTAACCTTGTCCCTTTTTGGGATGCCAAAAGAGGCAGCAAACAGTTGACGGCATCTTGAAGCAGGCCAGAATACACGGCTCTTCCACAGCAAAACCTGTAAACCATACTGACAGGATTGAGAAAAAAGTGCCATCACCAAAATGAATCACTTCGCTTTTAGCTCACTGTATCAAGTAAAGTTCTGAAGTGGAAAATGCAGTTTGCATAGGAAAGTTTATTATTGAAGCCTAAGAGCTGTCAAGCTGAATATGCTTCACTTTCAGAATGCTTGTTCTGAGAGTTCTTTATAGCTCTGACATACGCAAAATAGTGAAATCTTAGAAAAAACAAAAAAAAAACAAAAAAAACCAAACACCCAGCAACCTCTCTGAGCTATAAGGACATTCACCCAGATGAGACTGTTTTTCTTTCTAGAGATGTTCTGCAGGTTTGCAGCTTACTATTCCTCTTGGTCAGATGTTGTGAAGATAAGCACTGTGTGTGCTGTGCACAGTTAGGGACCACTGTTGCTGCCAGGTAGAAGGCGCAAGTTTTTTCTTTCTTGCTTTCATCCAAATCGAGTCAGAAGTCTTCCTAAAAGTAAAAATCACCAAAACATCACACTTTGGGCATATGAGGACCACATTTAAATTTCCATGCTAACAAAGTTCGATACGATTTCAGATCAGGAACACAAATTCCAACTCCTCAGCCAGCCCAGGCACAGCACGCCCACAGGAACGCCCCCAGGCCTCCAACCAGGGACCGACACCTTTCTAGGGATCCGAGCCACAACCCCCAGAGAACCCCAGCACTACAACTCCCACAGTGCACCGCGTCCCAGCAGCGCGCTACCTGCTGGGAAGCACAGTCTTTCCCACTCTGCCACATTTATTCTGTCGGAGCGTCGCGAAGCACGGACCCGGCACAGCTTAAGCTCTTGCGCTGAGGGGCGCACCCACCTCTGTTGCTGCGAGGCGGCCATCGGCGCCTGGCGCCGCGCGATGCTGCCCAACCACTGGGTAGGACAGAGACGACCGCGCGGCAAGCACAACACTCCCCACGCCGCTCTCACCCGGAAGTGCTACCAGGCGCGCTCAGCGCGCTTGGAGCCAATGGCATTTTGCGGAGAAGCACGTGACCCGGCGCGGCCTATCAGAGGGCTCCACAGTGCTCCGCTCCCTCCACCGTGTCAAGCGCGGGCCGGGCGCGTCGGGCAGCGTATGGTGCATGCGCGGGGCCGCCGTGAAGTGCGGCGGGGCCATGGACTGGAAGCAGAGCCTGAGGAACCGCCTGGCAGCGCGCCGCACCCGTGAGCGTGGGGCCGCGGGGATATCACTGGGAGCGGGGCGTCTCAGGAGGGACGGGCGGGAGGGAGCGGTTTCGAGTCGCGCCGCGGGGCTTAAGTAAAGAATCTGGCCATTGTAACGTTGCTTTGCTCGCCGTGCCCGCGTCTGTCATACACGCGGCTCAGAACATCGGGCGCGCGCGGCTGCTGGAAGCGGCCCTCGGCACGTGCTGAGGTGGGGCACGCAGGTCCTGTGTCTGCGAGCGTCTGCGTGCCATCCTTTCCGCCTGTTTGCCCTCCTTAGCGGGGCTGCGTAAGCCGTAGCGCTAATACTGTTTTTCAAGCACCTCGTTACGTTAGAACTCTACTTGGAGTCCGATCTGAAAATCCTTTTCTGTGTTAATTAGCCAGAAAGAGTGAACAGGAGCTGAAAGATGAAGAGATGGAGTTGTTCACAAAGTATTACATGGAATGGAAAGGAGGAAGAGCTAACGTCAACACGTCATATGCAAACATACCACGATTTTATTACAGGGTAAGCGAGGTGTCCGGGTACGTTTAAGGAAGAGGCTATTTTATAAGAAAAAAAGTGTCATGTCAAAGGGGCATTTCAGCTCCAGAAGCTGAAGTAAGTTGAGCTCTGAAAGATGTAGATTGTTAAGCATAATCTGTCTTTGACATTGCATACTTGTGAATTTCAGCAGTTTCAAATAATTACTGAGCACCTTTGGGTAGAATACACAGTAGTTTGCTATTTGGACCATAAACTTGGGAGTTTACTAAAGGTAACAAATCCTGTTTCTCTTTCAGAGATACTTCTTAACCCTACCCATAACAGGAGCTTGAAACTAGATGATCTCTAAGGTTCCTTCTGATCTAAGACATTCTATGATTCTTATTTTCATGTTTTGATGTACCATTGTTACAGATACCTATCTCTCTGTTTCTGTATATACACAGTAGGCTGCTACTTTGTGGAAAGGGTCATTGGCCTTGCAGACTAAAGACAGAGCTGTTGCTTGCATCATCGTGGTCAGACAACTTATCTGTGATATAAATCAAATTGAGATGGGGGAATAAAAGCAGAAGTTTAACACCTTTGGTATTGGTCAGCAGCTGTCTAACCTAATCATTCCTTAATCCTCAGGTTCTGCCAATAGACTTCTCAAGTAACTATGATTCAGCTGATGAATATACACGCAGCCATCATTCTGATAATTCTACACAATTTTTTGTGTAAACATCAGCAGAACCTTCATGCAAACCATTCTCCCATCTGTTTTTCTGACCAAAATGCATCTAGTAGATGTTCACAATTGGGAGAGTCAGGCTTACCATGTGTATGGGAACTGCTGAATCACGGCCTGAACCTCTGATGCATCACCTGGGGCAAGCAATGAGTCAGCCACAGGAGCACAGGTGAAGGCAATTCACCTATGCTTCCGGAAGGGGTGGAGCCAGGCTCCATCTCTCCTAGACCCATTTAAGAGCTGACTACCAGTGGGAAAGGATCTCTTCTGGAGATCCCTCCTCTGGAGTTTTGTAGCAAGCCTGGGATGTGGGTAAGTTTTCTATCTATTCTCTTTTTGTTATTATAATCTGCTTTGCCAAACTCTCTTGTTTACTTCATAATTATAACATCTTTATATTCATTGACTATACACCATAAAATAGAAAGTGCTACTCTCTGCTGACTGAAATAATGGCAGTAAAAGTTTAGTGTTCAAGCCCTTCTGTCCCATAACAGTGGGAAAGTGCTAACAAATGAACCATAGAATAAGGGGTAGTTTCTATCTCTCCTGATAAAGGTGCCCTGCTTTAAATAAACATGCCAGTATTGAACTAATTTGAGACAGTATGCAAGCCTAGAAGTATTCCTGTAGAAGAAGCAGGTACTATGGTAGTATTCTGGTAGATAGTTGACTACTTTCTATCATGTAAGCAACTTCGTCCAAGTGTATGAGGCAGGGGTACCTAAAAATACTTAGTGACTATGTGGTTTTTCAAGAGAACCACTGTACAGAAAACTGAAATGCCACAATTTCTCTAGCTGCCAGCTGAAGATGAAGTCTTGCTTCAGAAGTTAAGAGAAGAATCTAGGGCAGTCTTTCTGCAAAGAAAAAGTAGAGAGCTATTGGATAATGAAGAGCTTCAGGTAAGAAAATGTTTTCTGTACAGCTTACGATGATTTCTGACAAACTTCTTTTCTCCACAGAGTTTGAGCATCTCCTGTGGGTCCACAGAATCTTGTGTGATTGGTGAGGTGCTTTGTGTTTACACTGGCTTTAGCTAGTGTTTCACAACTAGTCAACCTAAGTGCTGAGTAGTCCAAGGCTGGTAATGTGAGTGTAAAGCTTCCTTGTTATGACGTGCCTGAGGAATAAATCAATGGCTGCTGGTTTTCCCACTTGTTCTGATAATTTTCTAATGGGCTTGGAGGAAGTGATAAGTTCTATTTATGTATCACTGAGAGAGACTCCAAAGGCTGTTGGGCTGACTGCAGTGTGAACACAAAGAGATGTAACCCTAGAAATCCCCATGACATGTTTATAACACAAGTTTAGAGTGGTGGAAGTGCTCCTTGATTGTTTTGCTGGTTGAAATTATGTTGTGTCCCAGTTGAAACAGCCTTACAGTAAAAAGACATATTTGCTGCGTTTTGTAGATGCTTTATCTTAGATGCATTGATGTATACGGAATACTAACTTCTTAACCAAATATGTAAATAACTTTCAAGAATCTATGGTTTCTACTGGACAAACATCAGACGTCACCAATGATTGGGGAAGAAGCGATGATTAATTATGAGAACTTCTTGAAAGTTGGTGAAAAAGCTGGACCTAAATGCAAGTAAGCATTTCTTTTATTGTTTATGCTTACTCTGGCCAAGTTTAAATGGTGCTGTAACTTCTAACTGTTCAAGTAAATGTTGACAGTCTAACGGTGAGAGGCTTCATGAAGTTATTGCTGACCTAATTGGTTTACAACCTTGCAAAGTTTCTCTGCATCTCTGCAAAAAATTTTCATAGGTTTGGAAAAGAGGATACTGTGTTGCTTGTTTGTTTTTAAAGAAGAAATTCTCACCATTGTAAGTGTTTTTAAGTTAGTATGGCCACTAAATTACACGCATTATACTTGAAGGGAAAATCTTGTCTGCAGCAACATTGTCCAGCATTCTCTCATATGTTTTGATAGAAAATTTCCTTTAAAATACAAAATATTCTGTGTATGTCATGTGATGAGTATTGCTGTTTTACATTCTTGTTGGGGACTGCTGTTGCGCACATGGCTTTGTAATTAAGTTTCAGTCAGAAGCAGATTGGTTGTCTTTATATCACTGAAGAGGATTGGGAGCTACCAACTATATTGTACCAAAGAGAAATTAAGTTGAAGAAGAATTAAGAATTTGCAGACTGTTAAGAGTCTCGTGTTTATGAGCATCAAAGGCTGCTGCTGTCTACTGAGTTTACCATTGCTATCTGATAGGATCCCAACTACATGTGTACTTGCTATGAATGCACTCAATACTTGTGGCTTTCAGGTTAGTGAATTAATATTTCTGAAGACACAGAACACGTTAAAAGTCTTTTAAATTTTCTGCAAGTTGGGAGTGCTGGAACTGCATCTGTCAGTGTGGTATAATCAGGTGCAGACAAGTAACTTTCTTTGTTTTACAGGCAGTTCTTCACAGCAAAGATTTTTGCTAAATTACTCCATAATGACCCTTATGGGAGGATATCTATAATGCAGTTTTTCAATTATGTCATGCGAAAAGGTTAGTTGATGCTTCCCGTTTTAATGAGAAGTTATTTTATTTCTGAGGCTATTTTAAGCTTTATTAATTAATTGCTGTTCTCATCAACAGCAGTAGAATCCTATCCTTGAATTGCTAATGCTGTTTTCATAGAGATCTGAGGGTTGATTATCTTTCTGATTTTCTTTATTCAGTCAGTATTGTGAAGTACAAAACAGGGAAGTTATGTAACCAGTGTGATCCTAACTGTTGTCCTGTAGATTATCTGATTAACGTGCCTTCTCATTTCATATATACGTGCATGTGCTATTTAAATTCTGCTGTTGTATTATACATCAGAAGTGAAATCAGGGCAGTTGGATGGTGGCTGCAGTGCTTCATACTGCACAGAGGGCTATAGCAGTCTAATGGGTAATCTGTATAGCACGTTGTGCAGCTGTTCTTAATGCATGAAAATAATTCAGTGACAGAGAACAAATATGTAGGATTCCATGTACCAGGTGAAACATGGTACCTTCTCAGCCATTTCTCACAGCTGGTTATTATAGGACAGTCTTGGTCACAGTGCACTCTTTATCACTGATGACTTTTGCCAAGTTGAAGACAGGATCATGGCTTTTCAACAGAACTGCTTAAGCCTCAGAAAAAACAGGAAATACAGAGGCACTTAACATTAAACAGTGCATCGTGCATTTTAGAGTAATGTCAAATTTTGTGAGGCCCCGAAAAATCCTCCAGATTTCTTTCTTATAATTCTATTTTCTGTTTTACAGTGTGGCTTCATCAGACAAGAATAGGTCTCAGTTTATATGATGTGGCAGGACAGGGCTACCTCAGAGAATCAGTAAGTACATTTTTTACAAAGTTGCTGTCTATCTTAACTCACGTGCTAGAGAATCAGAGAATGTCCAGATTTCTTCCATTTTGTGTCACAAAAACAAAATCATATTGTAGATTTGGATGAGGTGTGTTTATTTGGATAATTACCAGTCTTTGTATACTTGAAACTTGGTGGTGAGTGTTCCTAGTTCTTCTAACTTATGGATAATTCCTAAAAAGAGGTTGCAGACAGCAAAGTTTTCTGTGATTGGCTCTTTACTAGCTTTGTTAGGATACAGTAGAAATCACAAAAAGAAGTATGTCCAGAGTGGGAGTGAAATTAATCTCCTATTCTGTCAGGAGTTAATACTATAAAATAACTAACAAGGTTGCAGTTTCTGCTGTAATTGAAACAACATGGTAAAGAACATTCAGTAATTCCAATTAGGAATTACACACTGGTATTTGAAAAAGTTGCAGTTGAATTCATTTATATTTAGATGTGAATATCATACTTTCTTTTTTAACATTCTGTTTTGCTAGCAGACGGTTTCAGTTGTGGCACCACATGTGCATGCTATGTGTCTGACCTGCATTTCTTGCACCAAGAGATTTGTATTTATGCCTTCAGTTATGCTCTTTGCTGCATTGCTGTATTTTTAACTGAGTATACACAAAAGTCAGAGTGGAGTATAACAAACATTCTTTAAACAATCACAGTGTTTAAAGCTTCTGTGTGTATATTCTCTTAATTCTACAGGATTTAGAAAACTACATTTTAGAACTCATTCCTACTTTGCCACAACTGGATGGCTTAGAAAAATCTTTCTACTCCTTCTACGTCTGCACAGCAGTTAGGAAGTTTTTCTTCTTTCTGGATCCTCTCAGAACAGGTAGGTCCATGTTTTTTCAGATTCTAAATGTGTGAGTAGTTTCCATGTTAAACAAATGTTTCTACTGAAACTATTTGTGCCTTTGAACTAAAGTATTGTCTTTGTAGACTCCTATTCAGCAGTACTGTATTTTAATTTTAATCTCCTCTGAAAGCATGAGTCTTTATGTGTGTCTGATAGTCTACTTGCAGTGCTAATTAATTTTACTGAAAGCTCCATCAGTTGTGGTACTCTGTGTTACAGAAATTAATAAATAAGACATTCATAACAGCTAATTCAAATGCATAGAAGGCATAGCAGCTAACAGGGAATTCAGAATGTGTGGCAGAATACCCTGCAAGCTGTGGAAATGCTCAAGAATGCTGATTATGATATTGTTTCTCTATGATTAAATGTGTGCACTATGTAAGCTCACTACAAATGGTTTCCAGTTATGGATGCTAATCATCTTGTTACAAATGTAGCTTACTGGGACAACAGTTTGGTTTTTCTATATCCTTCAATTCACAAACTGCACTTCCAAAATTTCACTGTGTCACTTGAAGTCAGCAGTGTTGTGTGGGCAGTAGTCTCCAGCAGGAGCAACAACAAGCATATAGAGAAGGTCTGTGTGAAGTTATAGTGTCATTATTCTGCACAGCCATTTATGCAGTGTCTCTCCGCTGGTTAAAGATACAACAGCAGATGCTCAGTTTTCTACCTCAGCTTTGTCAGGTCTATAGTTTTGGAAGATGTGAAAGACACTGTTGTTCTAATAAGCATTTTAAGTATGTGCTTTCTGTGTATTATTTTTCTTTTGCATTTTTTTGTTGAACATTTATGTTTTTATAAAGTTTCCCGGCTTTCAAGGTTGCAGAATAACTACCAGAATCAACAATTTTTTTTTGCCATTTTAAAGGCTATTTTTATTTTGTTATTTAGTTGTCTGCCTTATCAATTGATGGGGTTTTTTTTCCTTAAAAATAGAAATTTGTTTGTGTTCTGGTGAGGTCCACCTAAATGAGAGCAGCCAAATGGATATGTTGGCCGAATAAGTTAAAACACAGTCTTCTTCTTTTCTACAGGGAAGATAAAGATACAGGACATCTTAGCTTGCAGTTTCCTGGATGACTTACTGGAGGTAAAGATCTCTTAACACATACTGCTGTATTTTATTTTACTATTTCTGAATTCTAACTTTGTATTTCACTTAGTTAAGGGATGAAGAACTTTCTAAAGAAAGTCAGGAAACAAATTGGTTTTCTGCTCCTTCTGCACTAAGAGTTTATGGTAGGTTCCTTTTATATACGAACACTTCCTTTTCTGTACCTTACGTGACTTAGTCAAATTATTGGTGTTATTTTGCCTGGTTTTTTTTTTGTTTTGTTTCTTTTCTCATTAACTCCTTCTTAGAACCAGTCTTTTCCATGCCTCTAGCTGTCATTCCAGTGCAGCCTTCTAACTTCCATTACAATTTCTGTTCTCCATTGTTGCTTTTTACCGTGGTTTTATTCTTTGTCATTTTGCGCTTCTTATTGCACAAGGTATAAAACTCCTTCTCTTTTGTTGTGATGCAAAAGCATGTTCTGTTCATACTTTTGCATCACTTTTAGCTCTTATTTGATCACAACAGATACATTAAAAATACTGTTTTTCTTGGTCTTGTGCTCCTTTCTCATGTAAGCAGCCTTTACCCCCTCCTCGTCCCCACTGCTTCTGTTGCTCGTTGTGATGATCCATGAATATTTTTGTGGTTCTAGCATACTCCCACTTAACTAACTTCTATGGTAAGAATTAAATGTTAAATGTGCTGAATTTTCTTTCTCCATTGAAACACTTTGTTGTTTCTGTAGGGATGCTGTATTTTGTCATCTGTTTCCTTCCTAGGACAGTACTTAAACCTTGATAAAGATCACAATGGCATGCTCAGTAAAGAAGAGCTCTCCCGATATGGAACAGGGACCCTCACCAACATATTTCTGGACCGTGTCTTTCAGGAGTGCTTAACTTATGATGGAGAAATGGTAACTGCATGATTTTACTCTGTTCACAGTATTGAAGTTTTTACTTTATTAATAAAGGGAAACGTCTCACAGTCAGTATCTTTTTCTAAAAGAGTATGTTGAGGTAAAGTAACTTCTGTTGGTTGTTGTTAGATTAGAAAATAAATTTTCTAATATCAAGGTGATTGCAAGATGACTGTGTAGTTGGAAGACAAGTTTCTTGTTTTGAAAAGCAGAAATGTTACAGAATCCAGGTAGTCCAGGATAGAGCTTCTCTTCCACTTCAATACATAAAGTGCACGTTGGAAAAAAATGTATATATTTATCCATGTTTTTAGAGGTTGTTTGATTCTTGGAAGAGAGATGAAGGCAAGTGGCATACTTGGGACTATCAACTAATCTGTACATACATAGCTAGTGTGCTAATCTGTACATTTCTTCATGAAGAGAGTAGTGTTTTTTTATTGTAGGCTTTGCATAGTTGTGAGGCATGGGAAATCTAACCAATCAGAGTTGAAATGAAAAATATCTGTGCTGTTTATTTGGAGATCTATATGTAATGTATCAGTACTTCTAATATGTGTTTTCAGATGATTAATTACCCCTAAATATGCTAAACTCCAATTTACGATGTAGCATTTCTGCTCCCTTAGTAATTTTTTGTAGAATTGCTGAATCATTGAGCTTAGGAGAATTCCTGTTAGTTGCCCTTTGTTGGATTTGCTTTAGTAGGTCTGTACCTCTTTTGTACTCAGGAGTCCAGAACAGAACCTAGCACTCAGATGTGGGCTAACCAGTGGTAAGCAGAGAATCATCATCTTCACCACCTTGCCAGTAAAGCTCTTCCTCATGCAGCTCAAAATGCTGTTGTCAGTTGCCTTTGCTGCAAGGGCACATTGCTTATGTATATTCAGCTTTGTTGCCCATCAAGACTCTCAGCTTATTCTATGCAAAGCTACTTTCTGTCTGGTTAGCCCCCAGCATGTGCTGGTGCACACAGTTATTCCTCCCTGTGTGCAGAACTTTGCATTCCCTCTGAACTCAATGCGATGCCCGTTTCTCCTGCCTGCTGAGGTCTTTCTGAATGGCAGCAAACCTCCTTGTGTTTAAGGTAGACAGTTACACACACAGGACTGTAGGCTTTCTGTCCTTAATTGTTGCAACCATATCTTTATCAGGAGACCAAAAATAAGTATAAGCAAAAAAGTAAGGAAAGTGTAAGAAAGGTACATATCTGTGATGTTTACTAGTGCTTCATCCTGACAAATTGCCAAATAACTTCTCTGGTCTAAGGATTGTGTACTTCAGTTGGTCAAATGGTTCACTCTTGGGATAAGACTAGGGTTATTACCTCTGAACACTATTAATTTGTGCTAATGAAAACTACTATGACTTAACTGATTAGGTATGTTCAGTGTTCTAAGGATGTAATAAACATTTTTAAAAGTATACGAAGCCTGTTCAATTTGGATTTATGCTTGGAATACTATTTTACATCTAAAAATGGCAAGATTTCCTCTCCTCAGCAGTCACTAGGAACTAACTTTTCTGTTCATGTTGGTGGTAGCAGCCATTTTCCATTTTATTTTGTCTTTTTCAGAAAATAGGCTGATCCCCTACAATGAAATAGCTGCCAATTATAATGTTCCTGCTTGCAAAATCAATTTAGAAAGAAGACTATAATAAACATGATTGTATCTACTTTTAGGACTATAAAACCTACCTGGACTTTGTACTTGCATTAGAAAACAGAAAGGAGCCTGCAGCTCTGCAATATATTTTCAAACTGCTCGACATTGAGAACAAAGGATACCTGAATGTCTTTTCCCTTAATTATTTCTTTAGGGTAAGTCTCTTTATACAGGTAGGCCATTTTCTGTGTTTATGGTGTTACAGCCTGTGTGCTTCTGCATGCAGATCTGCAGGGAGTCCCTTTAAATTACCAGTACCCACTGGGAAGCCAGTAACTGCTTGTAAGAAGATTTTAAACATTAAAAATCATATTCCAAAACTTGGAAAGAATTCAAAAGGTATTCAGCATTGTTTTTCTGCAGTTGAAATTAACTGTTTTGATTTAATCAAGGAGAAATATTTTTGTAGCTTAAAAATTTTTATAACTTGTTAAAATCCCTTATGATGGTTCTAGCTGGCTATTGCTCATGCTTTTAGTTTCCGCTGTAATCCTAAAATTTAGTACAACAAAGGAAAATGCTGAAGTACAGTGATGGCCTATAAGGCTGTGGGATTTCTAATCCCAGGTAATCATAGCAAAAAGCTTCTCGCTTGTGTCATACTCCATATTACTTGACAGTTTTTAGAATCACGCAATGGTTTGGGTTGGAAGAGAACTTTAAGATCATGTAGTTCCAACCCCCCTACTATAGGATGCCCTCCTCAAAAGAGACAATAATTAATTTTCTGATTTGATTATATTCCTGTCTTGAACAATGAGTGATATGAATGTCTGCATATCCTGTCTTCTGAATGCTCAAATGTTGGTCATAATGAAAGTTAGTTTGTTATCATACTAAAAAATGTGGACTTGGAGATGCACATCACTGTTTGTACCTTAACTCACCACTGCCTTACATGTGGAAGAGAACTGACAGCAAGCTGTTCTGTTAACGCCTTGTCACACAGCAGTGCATCTTAACAAGCAGAAGCATGTTTAAAAGGTATCATCCAGTGTCAATATAATACCGCACTGCCTGTTTCTAACTTCTTTTTTAGGCTATTCAGGAACAAATGAAAATCCATGGACAAGAACCAGTTTCTTTTCAGGATGTCAAGGTTGGTATAGAGTAAATAGAGTACTATGTGAAATATTTGTATAAACACTTTGCAATTTACCAATGGAGTATTGTAGTTTCTAGGTTGATAGGTATTTAATTGCAGTGTAGCGGAGGTAGATCTGACTTGTGTGCCTCGTGGGTTTGAAAACGTCTTTCTATTCAACATGTGTTGCATAAGAAAAAAATCTGGTATTCAACTGTGCTAGTAGTTTCTATATTTAATAGGCAAATTGTCTATTAATATATACTGCTGTGCCTTACACTTCAAGATAGTTCATATAACTTGGAATCGTCCCTCTTTCAGGACCAAGGAAGCATGGAGTTGACTAAAAAACTGTTGCCAATACAATTTTCTTGTACTGCCTACTTACATTAGCAGTTTCAGTACTAAAAGTGCAAGCTTCAGTAAAGCTAAACTCACATGGATGAGCTGAGTTTCATGTTGGCACTTGAAGCCCAAAGGCTCCCAGAAAAGCAAGCTCTTATTGAAGCTGTGGGAGCTGAGCACACTGTTCCTATTTGTAGTTGTTACTATGTCTTATATTTTACATGGTTAGGAACTTAATGGCCTGTTTTGTGTATTAGTATGGATGGCTTTGGTTATCCTAAGATCATTCTGTATACAGTATAAAGTAACCATTATTCTGCTCAGTAATGTGTGTGGGCTCTTCCCCCTCCCAACTCCTAGTTTTGACTTTTTTTTCTTTCACAGGATGAGATCTTTGATATGGTAAAGCCTAAAGATCCTTACAGAATCTCCCTTCAAGATTTAATCAATAGCAGTCAAGGAGACACTGTTACCAGTATTCTAATCGATCTGAATGGGTTCTGGACATATGAGAACAGAGAGGTCCTTGTGGCAAATGATAACGACAGCGTTGCTGATGCTGATGATACGTGACTTTCAACAGGAGTAAACTGCATCTATTGAGATCTCTCTTAACTGATGCATTCATTAACTATTGGATGCTGGGAACATTATTTAAATTGATGCCTCTTCCATTTTTACTGCCCTCCCATCTTCATCTTCCTCAGGCATGTAAGATAAAACTCAGTATGTAAAAATTAGTTCTGCAGATTCTGTGAAGTGAAAAGAGCAGGTCTTGTTTAAGAGGTAACTACGATCTGTTGTGGTTTTGGTTTTGCTTTTCAAATAAATGTTTTCAATTTTTTTCCTTATATACTGAGCCTTTTTTAATTTGAATTTTCTAGAATGTGCGTTTATCTTGAAATTAAGGATGTATTTCTTGAGTATTCTCAGCACTGCCCTGTATCCACTCAGTCACAGTGTTCTGCATGGCTTTGTCTAATGACAGCACTGTTAAGTATCCGACTCTAAGGGAGAAAGTCTTCTGTAAGAGGTAAATAATATAGCATAACCTCCTGTGTAAGTATTATAGGAAATTTAACTTAATCATATAGCTGAGCTACAGCAGTAGTTAAAGAATGAGTGTTTTACGGATTTAATAAAGTCACATAAGTGTTATGTATTTCAGATGAAACTGTTTCCTGTACTGTTTCACACTTTGAGATAATGCTGAAAATGTGAGTTCATTAATACGTACTCCATGAAGTTGTAAGGAAGGGGTGGTGGTATGGAGATGTCTTGAGTGTCAGTGTCTGGATCTTCTGCCAAGATGTGTGTGACTCCAGGAAAATGCAAGCAGTGAACAAGCACTTCACCTGTTTGCAGGCATAAAATTTCAACCACCTCACAGTTCCAAAGGAAAAGGCACAGCCAATTTTCAGTTCAAAAATTATATTAAATATAAAATAACCAATTAATGCATTTACAGAAAAATTAAACCATTATGAAAGTAACCACTTTCATACAGTTTGCAAAAAAAAACTTAATCCTTCAGTTAAGGCACAGTGAGTAATACAGCATATTATACAAAGAAGTTTAACCCCAAGGCTGTGAGAGGTTTTTCTGATATACCAGACAGTAGGGACAGAAGAAAACAAACACAACTGACATTAATTTCATGGCAGAAAAACAAAGCATCTTTCAGCTCTAAAGTTTTCACTATTAAGCTAAGTGAGGCTTTCTCTTTGCCACAGTATAATAAGAACTCCCAGTATTTTTCTATGTATTCCCCAGGTACTGATCCATTGTCTTCCTTGCAGGTGTTCAGGGTGGAATGATTTTACACAGCTGTCAGCAACCTCTGTATTACCATTCAAAACAAGAGCATCAAAACAGATGACTGAATCTTTCTCAGAAGCTCTGCTGTAGTGTAGAAGGGCATATGAGAGAAGAAAGAATCTGTGTTATACAGGATACTAGTTCAAAGAGCTATCTGAAATACATAAGCTGAGCTCTGCAAACTAATGCCCAAGGTTCCTGGCCTGTGCTGTTCCAGCAGGCTCCTTGGTTAGTAGTGGAAACATGATGACATCTAACAGAAAAATTCACTGAAGGTTCTTGAAATTTTTGCATTCTCAAGGACAGAAACAATTATTCAAATGGTTACTACATATTATAAGTTTTCTGCTAATCTATCTGTAACTATTCTGCAAAGGAAGTGATTGGGACAGCTACTTATTTCCCTGCCTGCAGCAGTGACTCCTGATTGTCCCAACGTAAACCATTCACGTTTTGCAATTTAGAGCTAGGATCACAGTCATTGCAATAAATAGCTTTGATTGGTAATTGGGGGTAGTTAAAACTGGAGTGAAGCTGCATTTCACTTAAAAAAGAATGAGTTGTTTCAATACTGAAACGAGTTTTTTTTCTTTTTTTTTTTAATTTAAAAGAAGATTCATAAGCCTGATTTTAAAATTTCCAGTTATTTATGAATTCTGCACTAGGGAGAAAGAGATACCTGCAATAGCACATTCCTTATAACATTAAACAAGCTGCCTGTTCAGCTTAATTAGGTACACTGATTCAGGTATCTTATAACAAAAAGGAAGAAAAAAAAAAGTGTAGTTACAAGTTGTTACCATACACAATGTCCCATTCACTATAATTTAGCAAGACTTGAGTTTACTCTCCCTGCCAATTCAGAGCAAGCATGTAAAGAAGTATTTGAACAGGTGGCTCACTATTAGTTCTTGGATCTAGAGGGACAGCATCTTCTGCTGATGCTAGTTCTGTACTTGATTATAGCACTAAATGGAACAGCTGAGCAGTATCAGCTTCCAGTCATGCTGGCATTATTACCTATGTACTCAGGGGTGTTGATAGCCTCCTTTAAAGTTTAGAGTAATAATAGAAGTATTTCATTGGGCCTTTAAATCTAATTAACATTAAATCTAACATCTCTTATGTCAGTAACAGAAAGACACATGCACACAGTAGTGACAACAAATAGGGGAATTCAGAAGCTACTATGACTTGTGAGTTACAGGATATTGATTCCTATTAATCTATTCATAGAGAGCCAAGTTGCAAACAGTGTACAAATCAGAAATAGGTGTTTAGAAGTAGGAAAGAGCACTACATCTGCAATCCACAGTGCCAGACAACAATTTAAATGTTTTACTTGCTTTACAAGAAATTCAATTTTAGACCAAACATTTGTAGCCCGATTTACATTTTAACTGAAGTGCCAATTTGGCAGAATGCCTCAGCCTTTATTAGGCTGACAGAAGGAAGAGACATCACTTAGCTCTCTCCTGATCAATAAGAACGCTAAAAGTTGTATTACACTGAACAAGTATAATCCTATTTTTCTGCTTGTAGCCAGACTGTGACACCTGATGCTTCCTATTTCTTACAGTACACAGAGCTTTTCACTTAAGTAGAAGCTACATCTTGCTTATTTTCCACAACAGACTGGCAATCTCCCTCATTTTCAAAGTTTACATTCACGAAGGAAGTACTTGTTGCTTCAGGCTGGTCTGTTTGGACAGGAGCCTCAGCCTGTGGCTTGTCCTGCTGCTCCTGATGCTGTCTTTCTGCTTCTTCTGACATCCTGTTTTCCTGTTCCTCCTCTTCTTCCTAAAATAAACAACCAGATTCATAAGCTACTGATTCCTTGAAGTAAATAAGGAATATATTCTATAAGAACATATCACTTCCCATTACAAGACACAAAAATTTGTTCTGTTTAATAACAGTCACTAGCTTATTGTAATTCCACAACTTCCATTAAGGGAAAAAAAATTACCACCGAAAGTGAAGGATTAAACTGTGTCCCACCAACACAGAAAAAATGATGCATGTCCAGATAAGCAATCTTTAGCGAACAACAGTAGTGATAGGTCTACTTTCTATGAAGCATTTCAATGCTATTTTAATAATGAAAAGCTATTGAAATAAAATAAGTGTTAAAAGTGTTAAAGCTTTAAGCTTTTTTGCATAAAGCATTGGCTACCCATCATTCATTTTCAGTTGCACTTTGGAATAAATGGTAACGTAACATTCAATTTCCCTTTGAATTCAGAGTTGGAAAGCACACCTACTTTAACCGAGTAAAGTGAGGCAGCTGCCTCCTTAGAGTGTTCCTTTCAACTTTCTTACACTTTTGACCTAAAAATGTGCTGTAGAAGAGAAGCAAGCAGAGCAGTGGTAAGGACCCAACCAATTCTAGGACCGACTACCTGATGAGAAAATGCTCATGGATAAGCAAGCATAAATCATGGATCAAGTGAAACTGAAGGTGAGCTGAAGCAGACATTCTGAAACTTCATTTCAGTAATCAGTGTAGGAATACAGATTTTACTTTTGAAAATGCCAGGGAAGATAAGTAGGGAAAAGTTTAAGAACACAATCTCCCACATATACCTCTTTCTTCATTCTGTAATACTCATCGATGGCATATTGGTATTTTGGAGTGCTTATCCCCAGAACAGATGCAATCTTTTCCCCAAGAAAATCACACACTGAAAACAAACACAAGACAGTTGTTGAACACAGTTTCTCTGTAAAAGGTGTTAACTTTCCCAAATGGTTTTCCATCATTGTACATCACTCAAAAGAGAAAATCTGCTATGCTAAGCTACTTACTTTCAGTTTTCAACTGAAATTTAACTGAAGATTAGATAAAAACATATGGCTACCAACTAGAGTGGTCCTTCAGTCTAATGATACCAGAGAAGTTACTTAATGATAGATGTACACTTTAATCCCGTATCAGTTTTAGCGATGCTCTGTGTTGCATACTGATGGGTTGATAAAATGTATAGATTTTAGCTATCTCAGTTTTCAAGGCTACATAGAATCATATAGATATATGTAGGATTACTTTGCCAAAACATGTAGTGAAGTCAGAAGAACAGCACAGGTGGGCTTGGGTCAGTTGGTTGCTTTATCAAGACAATGGTTAAAGCTCTATTGCTTCAATAAAATCAAATATATTGCACTTCAAATTACAAATCTGCCTTTAGGATGCAAATAAATTACTCAGTCATCTTCAGTGAAAACAGAAGTAATCAACTGAATGGTTCTGCGAGTGTACAGTCATTTTATAGATAATCTTACAGACAGAGCTCTTTCAAAAGATCAGTTCAGACAGCAAATACAGGAGGCAAAAGTTAAGAGGGAAGGAGGAAGCATCTAGCTGTCCTCAAACTGATAAAAGACTCCTGGAAAAAAAGAAAAGAAAAAAAAAGGAGAGCAATATCTATCTCTGTGAATGAGGAAAAGATACAGCAATGAACAGGACTGTAGTGTAAAGTGTTTCTAAAAATAATAATAGTTTAATCAATAAAATAGACTGCCAATAGTCTTTTAAATACTCACAATCAGGCTGTACAGTGATGGAAATCCCACAGATATTTGTCAATATACAATACAAAATACTTCACACACAAGAATACAGACTTGGACAAGCATTCTAAAAACTTAGCAATTTTTATGAGGTCCACAGGTCAAAGAAACTTCTGTGTAGTGAGTTTAAGACTCTGGACAATAAGTCCTATTTTTGTCTATCTTGCAACCTCAGCAGACTGTTGAAAAGTACATGACTAGGTATACTCTTAGAATACTTGCCAGTTGTCTTAGTAAAATCTGATGATTTAGTTAGGTGAAAAATTTTTTCCAAATAATATCACTCAAAATGGTTCCATAGAAGACTTTATAGGAAGCTGATACGCACCCTTGCCAACATCATCATAACTCCATATGGAGAAAAATAGAAAAATAAAAGTGTTCAGCAAAAGGATTCATGCTTCATACAACAGTTGTTGATTGAAAATAAATAAATAAATAAATAACATGACTGCCTAAACAAGGGGAAAACACCACAATCTCATTTATACTTTTGAAAAAAAAAAAAAAAAAAAAAAAAGACCAGTAGACTACAGAGATTATTTACAGTCTGTCAGAGTGACTCAATATTCTTCCATGTGTTTAACTAAGAATTAAGTGAATCAGTACCTGATAAGGTTGAGGTGGCAACTCTCAGCATATGAAACCATAAGTAGGGTCCCCATGTGAGCGTTGTCTGTAACCACAAAAACAGTACCAACATGTGTAGCTGTATGTTAAAGATACACATTAAGACATGCAAATGCTCAAATAGATCTAGAACAAAATCTGCAGTGGCGCCTGTTTGCAGCTACCACGGTATTTTTGATTTACAGTAAGTATAGACCAGGCATATCTGAAGCAAGATATCACTACAAGATATAACAAATAACCAACAAATAACATCTGGGAACATTATTTTCACCTTTTTTGTTTTCTGCTTCCAGACTTGGGAAGCAACAAGCATCTAGTTCAATCCCAAGATATTTCCTATGACTATAAAGACTTTTTCATTATTTTCTGAATTTTGTCAGACCAAGCAGAGAACTGACCTAACCTCTGATAATTCTCTGATTATAATAATGAGAGAAGCAAAAAATGTCTGTGAGGAAAAAGATGGGGGTGCCGCCATTTGTGTAAGAGAAGCTGGAGTTCACAGAGCTCTGCCCAGGTGTGGATAAAGGGCCAGCTGAGAGCTTACAGGTAAGGATTAAAGCATTATGGTTGATACTGGAGCATGTGCATGCTATAGGGAAAATGACTAGGAAGAGCAAACGTATGAGGCCTGCTTCACACAGCTAGAAACTGTCTCAATGGTGATTTCCACCACCTTAACACCTGCTGCAGGAACAACACAGCAGGGCATAAACCCAGCATGGTCCTGACCACAATTTCTTGACACAAGTAACAGAGAAAACAAGAAAAGGTGCTCTGGACCTCGTGTTCACCAATGAGCAAAGCCTCACTGGGGATAGGAAGGGTTGAGGCCAGCTTGGTTGCAATGACTATGAGATGAAGTTCAGAATGCTGAGAGGAAGGAGCCAAGCAAAAAAGCAAAATCATAACTCTGGGCTTCAGGAGAACAGACTTTGGCCTTTTCAGGGATCCGCTTGGAAAAGGCCCATGGGAAAAGGCCCTAGAGGGAAGAGAGGTCCAGAAAAGCTAGCTGAAATTCAAAAATCATCTACTCCAAGCTCACAAGTGATCCATCCCAAAAGTAGGAAGTCAGGCAAAAATGCCAGCAGGCCTGTCAAGGAGCTCTGGCCAAACTCAGCTGTAAAAAGGGAATATACTGAAGGTGGAAGCAGAGATAGGTAACACTGGAGAAATATAAAGCATTCTGAGCATTCAGAGACAGAATTAGGAAAGCCAAAGCACACCAGGAGTTGAATCTAGCAAGAAATGTATGAGGCAACAGGAAGTGCTTCTGTAAATACCTAAGGGGCAAGAGGAAGGTGCAGGCTTACTGCAGAAGGGGGCAGAGGTTCTGATGACACAAGACATGGAAAAATCTGTGGTAGTGAAAACTGCCTTCATCCCACATTTCCTTGCAAGACTGGACTTCAGAAATCTAAAGGACAAGGAGCAAGGTGTGGTGTAAGAAAGACAGTACAAGAGGATCTGCTTCCAGAATACTTAAGCAAACTGGTCACAGCTAAGTTAGCGAACCCTAATGCAAAATTTCTAAGATGGTGAAGGGTCTGGAGCATCTTCCACGTGAAGGAAGGATGAGAGAGATGGGGCTATTCAGCATTGAGTAGACTCTGGGGAAATCTTATCCATGAGTACAATCTGTCAAGCAAGAAGCTCAAGCTGGCAGACACAAGTAAAACAGATGCTACATATTTTTGGCAACGGACATTAAAAATATCCTGCCAAGGTAAAAGTGTAAGCAAAACCAGCTGCTATCCTGCTTATACAAAAGCACCTCCAGCTTGCTGATTACGTACGCAGTTGGCAGATAAGCTAATGACAATCATTTCTCAGTTTGTTCAGTTGAAGAACTCAAAAAAAAGTGCTGGAAAAGCTCATTGCCACAGGTGCAAATAATGGCATTGACAAGCCTTTGTACAATCCTTCATAACGAGGTGACAAGGTCAAAAAGCACTCACAGAGCACACAGAACAAACAAAAGCCTGCTGTGCAGCAGTAAGAAGTTACAAGAGCCCCTTTAACATTTAAGGATAAAAAGAGAAGCTGAGCTTCAATGTGACAGAAGTAAATCAGACACAGAGTATTCTAATGTCTACTGCAGTACCACAAACATTAAATTTGAGTCTCTGCAGGCACAGAGATGCTTTCTATTTCTGCTATTCCCCCACCACAATTAAAGATCAGTTTGCTATGTTAAAAGTAATTCTAAGTTCAACTTTGTATGAATGTCTGCTTCCTACAACATGCATCTCTGGCCTAGCTAGATATTTCTTCACTCATTCCAATATTTTTGTGCCATTTCTGGTACCTTGCAAAAGGAACATTCTTTCAAGTGTCTCAAAAGGCAATATAAAGCCAAAAGAAACCACGTAATGAAGATTCAACAGTTAAATGAAATGCCTTGTAGAGTAAACACCACTGAGAACAAGCAGGGACATGAACACATCCGGGAGAAATAATTCTCCTCTGTTTTTTTTTTTCTTATTTCCTCAGGGTAAGCTTGGGCAGCTTCTGGCAGAACCTCAGATACCTAAGCAAGAAGGCCAAATATGAGGTGAGAAGAGGTACTGGAGTGAACAAGAATCTTATGGGTGATAAGAACATAAACGTTCTGCGAAAGCTGAATACAAATTAATAGTACTATATGAAGTATCTTTGATTTACTGAATGACACTGGAAAATGGTACTGAAGTCCGGTCTTACGGTACCAAAGTCAGTTCAGTAAGAACTGCACACCCAGATGTTATGTATCTTCTTTGTCCAGAGAAGTCTTAACATTCAGTGTAATCAAAACAAGGACAGATAATACTGTATTTCTTGAATGAAATGCAGGACACTAGTTTTATATCAGGGAACAGTATTTCTCCTACCATCATTCTCTTAAGTATATGTTTCTACAGTGCTTAACTATACTATTTTGCTATCATGATACAATTTTGTTTTTTAAAGTTAAAAATATAATGGTTATTTACACTTGATTTTAAATTACAAAACATCCTAATGCACAATTCTAATCTAAAACTCAGCTACAATATCATCTGTCCAAGTCCACATACAGAAGGTGTCAGCGCACTGCATTTTAAGTAGGAATTAACATAATGAATTCATCCACTGATAAAACCAAGAGGGCTATGATTCAGCAACAGAACATGATATTGTTCCCTAGTATGGTGCTGCCTAAGGGAGCAGACACACTGCTAACTTCTGAATGTGCCATATAAACAATCCACATCCATATTTCTTTTGCTAGATTTCAGTCCCTAATAACACTTCTTGACCTTTCTAGATTGTAGGTTTGGCACTTTGTTTTTTGTTAGGTTGGTTGTTTGCTTTGTTTGTTTGGATTGAGTGTGTGCCTCTCCTCAGAGAAAATGGCAAAATGAGATAAAGAATCATTTACTGATTTAAGAAAAAGCAAGTTGTGTTTAATGAGTTAAATATTGCCAGATACTTTTCCATTGTTTACTGTGTCAAGACGCAAGTTTAATGAGTTTAATTACTGATTGCCTAGTCACTGGCATAACAAGTCCTTCAGTGAACGCAGCAGGTGAAACTGCTATCACAAACCGGTTAAATCAAGATTGAGGAGCATCAACAATAATCATACATCGTGTGATGAATAGCAATTCTTTGGCAACTTTCCTCCCTCGCTGCCAAATTCTTAAAATAAAATCAGACTTTCTGAGTTCTCAATAGCATAAAATAATGCTTTTTTGCTATATGAAGTTAAGCTCCTTTTTGACTAGGAGATATCAGAATAATCTTCCTGTAAGAATATCTTTCAGTCTTTCCAACAAAATGTATCTGTTTTGGAGCTGCTGAAACGTTCTCAGGATAAATGCTAAACATATATAGTTGCTTATAGTTGGTCTGCAAAGGCATTTCGGCCTATTTACCTAATAGGTGAAGGCAACAAAGTGGCAATCCAGGCATAAGCAGAAAGGTTATTTTCTGGAACCAGTAAAGTAAAGGTCTTTGTGAACAGAATTGAAGGAGGTTTACAATATAAATTACATTTTTTGATAGAAGATTCAGTTATGAGCAAAGCATTTACAAACACCAAAGAGGCAAAGGAGAACACGAATAATAAAAAATGCTATCTTAAAAAAAGAAATCAGAAAAATGTAGTAAACATGCTCCGTGCTTTGGATTCAGCTCCCTCTCTAAAAACCACAACAGACTGGACACTGATCCAAAAGCAGCAATGAACTGACTTGCAGAACTGTCAGAATCACCGCTTCAAAGCAAAACTTAAGACTCACTATTTTATGAGAATTTGTTTTAGGTGGCATCAGCCCATCACACTGAGTTCTTTGGTTCTCATATTATCAGAATACATACATGTTACTTTGCTTAGTACAGAAGACATTGCTGTTGTCTGCCTAGCTCTGCAGTGTGACTAAACCAAGGTATGGCTACTGAAAAAGTTTCTTTACAACGCAGCAAAATATTTGTTTCTCTTAAGAGTTAAGTTTAAACTCTTAAGTTTGAACTCACTTAGAACCTGCTATTATGCCAATACCAGCTGAGCTTTGAATTTTCATGATTTAAAGTTTCTATTCCAAATATTATGTGCTTTTTCTAAAAATAAATTGGTCCAGGAACAGCTATTATTTGCAACATACTTTTTAGTATCCCAACCGAGATAACAAGTTTTAGACATGCTGGTCTCAGCAAACTGACTACTTAATTGCTTTTATAGAAATCCTACAATAAAAACATTTTCAAGGCAGCTGTTGGCTAAAACATCAAAGCTCAGCTTGGACTAACATTTCTTCAATTCAGTGGCTCAGTTGGGATACACGAAGCATTCAGCAGATAAGGTAAACTTCACTTAATGGCAACCCTTGGTCTAATCAAGTTTATTCTGCCAAGATAAAAAGCAATGCTTAATAGGGCATACCGTGCTCCACAATAAAGTATTCTGCTTCAGAAGGCTCTTTTATTATTAAAAAAATAATAATAATAAAAATTAAATATTTCATAAACTATAGTGGAATAAAGCAATTTTATCTGTACCACACAATATGCTTTTTGGTATTCAGAATAAAATTCAAATTAGGAAAGCAGGAGTATGATCCCACAAAATCCTGGCAGTTGTGGATATTTGAGAACTTTTTAGTTAAGTGTCCATCTCTTCAGTGGTGTGTTACTTCTCTGGCCTCACAACACACATATCAAGTCCTGTGAGCCTGCCATCATGCTAATGCTACTGAGGAGAAATGACAGAGAAACTACACAGATATAGTCCCCTGCTAATTATAATTGAAAAAAAAAAAAAAAATCTCTGTACATATCTATGGATATCTGACAGAGCCCTCATTGTGTGAAGCAGATCTGAAGATCTGAGTCTGAAGATCCATTAATGTTACAGCAGTATTCAGTAAGTTTCACAGTTCTTGCACTTCTAGAGTAAACCCTTAGGGGGAAGAAGAAAAACAAAAATACCCAACAGTGTAGCTTAACAGCTATCATTTAGCAATTGTTTATAAGTTAAATATATTTGTTTTCAATGATTATACTTTAATTAACGTGTAAACTTGACATGCATTTTTATACTGATACACCTGCTCTCAGGCTAACGTTACTTTTCTTTGTGTACAAGAAAGAGGTACTGATGCATCCGTCCATCCAGGTCTAAATACAGCATTTTTATACTTGAATCCTTTGGAGCCCCAGTCCCAGCCCTCCATAGTCTCATATCAGCTCAATCCTCAAACTATTACTTTTTCTTCAAGCTAAATTAACTTTACAGACGGAATAAAGGAGAACTGATTGATAGTCCTTCACAAAGCACACCTTGTGGCCACACCACTTCTTCAGAAGAGAAAGAAAACAAAGTCAAACTGTCCACTGAAATCCCTCCTTTTTGTATCCCTGGGAACGATGCACACACAAATAAGTATAGCAGCTAGTCATACAGTAATTAGCAAACTTTAAACACAACATTTCTTAATCATGGATTCCCAAACCATGATGCACAAGTCATTTCAACAGCAATGCTTATGTCAGGTAGAAAACACCACCAATTTCTGTGTGTGCAGAGACTCTTATCTGAAGTGTAAGAACAAGCAGCTCTAAACAGGTATTTGCCTCCAAAGCACAGACAGGCTGGCTGCTGCACAAGGCAGCAACCCCCAGCCACCTGACAGTACTCAGCACATGGGGAAAGATCTAGCTGATTTCTGGGACACCACTTCAAGCTCAGTACAGGCAAACAAGTACAGAGACGGCTGGGAATGGAGTCCCACAGACAGAAGGCAGGGAACAGGACTGTAGACTCAACTTATGGGAAGATAGAATCATAGGAAGGTAGAGAAGAAATAGTTGGGATACCAGTTTGTGGAGCTGTCATAAAAGAAACACAAGACTGCAGATGTGGCAAATACTTCTAAGATTCCTCAGTGTCTAGAGCCAATTGAATTAACTCAATCTTCTATACACCATATCAAATTTGTAACATCAGAACCACAGGAAAAGATGCAAGTAGTTATCCAATAAACCAGTAAGTAACCAGTAAGTGAAGTACTTACAGGATCTACAGGAGGCAACAGGTCTTTTTTCTCTTGTTCATCTTCCTCTTCATCTGTGCTATATTCTTCCATTGTTTCTCCACTTGCAAAGTGAATAACCCTCCTTGGAACTTTCTTCTTCTTTCCTATGACACCCAGCTCCACATTCTCAAAGCCTCTATCTCCATTTGTAAGTTGCTACATAGAAGAAAAAACTAAAAATTATCTCAAGTTCACTTCTATGCAGTAAGCTGAAAAACTGGATTTTTCCCTTAAAAAACTTCATGATCTGCTTAAGAGTTTTAGATCATTTAGTACATCAGCAATCACCATTAGTACAAGGGCACATGAAAAAAGCTTAATTAAAACCCACTTAATTTAAAAAGCTTAAAAACCCACTTAATTTAGCGGGTAAGGATGAATGAAAAAGAAGTGTGGATTTGTTCTTTCAGTTGCCGAATACTACAATGCAGTCTTCCAGTCTGAGAAAAAGCACTGGGAAAGCTTTACTTCTGGTTCAAAGGCCAGCCCATAATTCTTCAGGATAACAACTCATGCGGACAGAGAATTTTAGTAAGTTTTGTATTGTATCCACCAAAAGAGAACCTTCATTTTGGCAAAGCATTTAAATACTACTGCAACAAATGCAAAAGGTGTTTTGAAAATACTCCTATTGTACAGAGAAGGACACAGAAGACATGAAATGTTAGTCAGCTGCTTTTAATGTACCATGCAGGTTTTTAAAAAGCACACAAGTGCATGTATTGTAGAAGCGTGTCATAATGAACTTAGGGAAAGAAATGCATGCATGCATACGTACGTAGAACTAACTTTGAGAAAAATTGACATGTTCCAATTTTTGACTACTTGTCTAGACAAGCTTAGCACAGATCTTCACAGATCTTCACAGATCACAAATCAAAAATATTAGTAAAAATGTGTATTTTTAACACACAGATGTAGGATTACCCTTAATCCTAAACACAGTATCACCCTTCCTGTCACTTATGCTAGGTTCACTAGGAAAACCAATGGGCACAGTGCAGTGGGACAGGTGAAGGTAGGGAAGCAGAACTGCCTCTTTCATTCCAGGCAATAAATTTATATCATGCCCAGTGAAGAGGGAGGGAATACACCGATCACATGCTACGCCTGATGATGTGGAGAGGGAGTACACACTTTCATCATCCCTTCTAGCCCTCATACTGCAGCTGCAGAAAACTGCAAGTCATTTTGGCTTCCTGCAGTGTTTCTTTAGCTACCATGGCACATTTTGTGTATGTTTCTGGAGGAACAAAGCAGAATGAAGTGGCAGAATGAAGTTTTCAGTGGTATAATCCAGCTAAAATGGCATTACATTTCCATGCAGAAGCACAAAGCTGACAGCCCTGGGGCTAGTGGACTCTGTCGAGTTTCAGTCCTGAAAACAGCAGCAGTAGAACAGCAAATCTACAGAAATCTGAGTGCTGAAAAAATGCAACAGCCTGAGCACAGGGAGCATCCCTTGTGCTGCCACGAGGGCAGGCACTGCTCACTCCAAGTTGGTTCTGTGTTTTTTGGAGCACAGAGCACCACAGAATTGGCCCCTTAAAAAATTTCACACTTCTTCATTGGCACAGAACAATGATTCCATTTTTCATGGTTAGTCGCAGTACTGAAGAGCACAATTTCTTATGACTACTTATTGTGATCAATAACAGTAAGCCTCACTACAAGCTCCTAGAAATCCTTCTGATTTTGATTCATTTAACTCAAATACTTCAAATATCTTTTAGCTTAGAAAAATAGTGTAATAAGTTTTTAAAATTTAAAAGTAAGTTTTAATTCTCTGGCTATAGAAACTGTACACTTCTCAGTGCATTTCTGTACCCCTCTTACTCTACCTGTGGGAAGGAGCTCAGCACATTTGGTTCTGTTACAACATTTTGGACAAATGTAATCAATACAAAAAAAGAATCAAGGAACAATGAAACATTTCCCTTAGTAATCTGGTCCAGAGACTTAAATTTACTTAATAAAATAAAATGCATCAGCTGCTGCTTTGATTATTACATGGGCAGCAAACCTAGATGTTGTTTCCAGTCATCCCTGTGGCGTTTGTCATTTTAATTTTCACATGCACAACACCAACAAAAGCCTTCTGTCCCAGCTGCAAGCAGAAGCCCAGTTTTATTTTATTTCTCTTCCCAACAGGGTCTGCTAAAAAATGTGGCAATACAGATCTTATCTATAATTATCACCCAGACTAACTTTATAGCTAAACACAACAGTATCTTCTGTTTGAGGCCTTACACATTTACCTTCTTTTTCCAATCCAGGAGCTGTTATGCAGGTCACCCCTCATGGGCACACCTCTGGTCAGGCTGCCATCTCATTTTCTTCCACAGGCCTATCCCACCACCAAGTCCTGAAAGCCCTGGCACGTGGCATGACAAACAAATGCTATCAAAGCATATACCTTGGCTTCCATACGGCCAGCTATTAAACACGAGGCTAGTTACCTTTGTACTTTCTGCTTCAGCTTTAGTTGTGAAGATGCTTTGTGAAGTCTGTCGCGCTATCTCCCTTTCCTTTCAAACGTCCCCTTGGAATTCTTAATTCACTTTGTGACCCTCACACATCTCCCCTGTTGGAAGTTACATCCCAAAGTGCTGTTCCTCATTACTCCCTTCAATCCCTCTCACCTCAGCTTTTGACAGAAGCACACAACCAAAATGCCAAAACAAATAAACTACGATTATGGATGAAGTGTGCCAAGACACCTGCAGCTGGCGGTGCTCAGCACAACTAACACAGGACAATGCAACAGCCTCAAGTTTCATTGAGGAGAGGAAAAAGAAAACGAAATGACAAAGAGGAGAACAGACCACTCACTCTGTCATCCTCCAGTCCGTCAGAACTTGGGCCGCGTACTGAGCTTTTGATCCAAAACGCCAAAGCTCGTGCCTCTCTCACTCCCCCAGGAAAGTAATTAGTTCACAAAGAGCTGCTGGCCTGACGGCACTAGTCAGTAGGAGGCTGTAATACTAATCAAGACACAGTCCTGCCCATGCTATCCTGCCTGCTTGCATTTATATTATTTTTATAATCCTCCTTAACTTTCTACCCTGCGTCTCAAGCGAAATTAAACAGCACGAGTCTTCTGCAAGCAGAAAACGATGAAGTGAAGGTTGGGAGAGCAGAGCTGTAAAGAAGCCTTCGGAACCGCAGGGCTCAGGACAGCAGCGCACAGCCAAGGCGCGGCACAGGAGCACCGGGCGCACAGCCTGAGCCGCTGCCGGAGACTTCAGCCGGGCGGATGAGCGCTCTGCAGGTCGAAGTCCGCTCGAGACCCGGTGTCGCGTGCGGCCGAGGCAGTGATCTCTCACGCCTCGGCTCTGTCGCTGACACGCTGGCTGGAAACGGATAAGCCGCCCTGATTCAATATTTATCAGGCGATTTGTAAGGCGTTGTTCGCCCGTGAAACAGAAGACGCCCGCGCTGCAGGCTGTAACTACAGCGCACTGAAGGGCAGAGCCGCTCCGGCTGCCGCCCACACGACCACCAGCCCTCCCGTTGGGCTCGGCCACGCACGCCGCGGCCCCGGCCGAGCCTCCCCGGCCTCTCCCCGCCGGTCCCGCTCACCTGCTCGGGCTCCATGGCGCAGGCGGCGGCCGCGGGGCCGGTGGCGGGCGCGCAGTAGAGGGTGATGGCGGACAGCCCCTGCTCCATCCTCCCGCCCGCCGCGGCGCCGGGGGAGGGCGGCAGCGGCCCGCCGCGGCCCAGGGAGGCGAGCAACCGGGCGGTGCCGCCCGTCACACCGCCCGGCGGGGCGGAGCGCTGAGAGAGGGCAGCTGGGGCCTAGTGGGTCCGGCCGTGCTCCCGTCCCTAGGCCTGTGCCCGGGGAAGGGGGAAAGGCGCGGGGCCTGGGCGCCTTCTCGAGCCACACCTCGGGCATCGCGTCCTCCAACTGCGGCAACCAGAGCCAGGAGAGCCCGGGGAGAAAAATACAGGGGATGACTACCGGGAACGGGCTCCTCAAACAGGGCGGACTGAGCTCCCCGGCCTGCTCTGCGTCGCCCGTTGGGGTGGCAGGGGGTTGAAGTCTCAACTCGAGCAGGATTTCAGCTCAGGAAAAAAAGCATTAGAGCATTAGCAGGCCTTCCAGCACAGCTGCCTGCAGATAGAAGAACTATCACCCTCACCAAAAAAGAAAAATGGGGGGAGAGGGGGTGCAGAAAGACAAATTCTGAACCTTTGGAAAAGGCCCCACCTCACACCTTTTAAAGGAGAAACAAAAGAAAAGTAAAAACAGGGTGTTCTGGCCCCTGGGACTTATCTGGGTGAGAAAATAACACGCATTCCCAGCAGGCAAGGAAAAGCATTTGCTTTCACTTAATTGGCTTGCTTTATGGAGCAGCAGCAGCAAGCAAAGTGCTCTTTCTCCAAACTGCACACTGAAGGCTTTTGTTACTGCTAACACCTTAACAAAGGGCCAGAACTCACCTAGCAGAAAGCACATCAGCCACTGCCAACAGCTAGAGAACACAGGCAGAAGCAGCAGCATTTTCAAGGTCCTGCTTACAGAACCAAGGAGTGAATGAATCACTTTTTCCAAGGTAGGAGTCAGTGGCTGTAATGAACACTGCCATTATTTACATGATGACAAGGATGACACAGGATTGAAGGACAACTGAGTATGACTTCTAAGGAACTATGCTCTGTAGCACAGATAGGCTCTTGGAACATGTCTTAGTATTGCAGTCTCTCAGAGGAGAGCAGTCATGAGCAAAAAAATGCATCCTTTTCAATAGCTGCAATGAAAGAATATAAATATTTCAGCTGCCAGAGTCATCCTTGTTCTTTGCAAAGGTGGAAAATTACATAAAAATTGTTGCTCTAGCCCTGTAGGGAAGACTTCTCATTAAAGAACAGCAACCAAACAAGCTCACATGAATGACTGTTCCACAGCTGGTGAGTCTTTTTTTTTTTTTATGCAGAACAGCACAATCAGGGTTTGCACACACTTTGACATCCACCACCTTCCAAAAGCAATAAACACACATTAGAAAACTGTTTCTACGTTAATGTGCCCTATTATGTATATATCTAAACTTGTTAACGCACTGTGGAGAGGGTTACAAACTGCAGGATGCCACTGATTTTAAAGTAAGGACGTGCATCTAGAACATAAGTATAAGCAGTTAAGCTTATTTGGTATGTTGCTCTCTTAGCCATCAGTTCCTCCTAGTGGCGATCTCCAGGCACTACAATTACCTGATGACCCGAATTCAGATTTAGCGATGTGTCCAGACAGTAAAACAGGAGACACACAAGAAGCCTAACAATAAAATGTAATACTTGCACTTTCAAACATTGTACAAAGCCTCTCTTGTCTTAGTGCAATTAAGAATACCAAACCGGAAGAACACAGAGTACATTCCACACTGTGCTCTGCAGAACTCACATTTTATTTCCCACACTCTTAACATTTTGTTCTCCTATAGTGCAATAAGAGGGTTTTATAGACCATTCTATAAAGTCAAACTTAAAAACAAACAAACAAACAACCATAATTCAAATCTTTAGGCAGTTGTTCCTAACAGGGTCTGAAGACTGTCCTATTTGGCATGATAAGAGCGCACACCTATATGTAATTGCTGAGTAACGTACTGCTGTTTGTTTATACCAACATATACCTCAGAAATAACAAATCACACATCCTACGCTAACAGAACTGTTTCCCAAACTTGCCCTTGCTTCTTGCTAGCTGGGTGAGCTAGCAGAACTCTATTCCTGTACAGTAGCAGCAGTGATAATATGAAAATTCTAAATACTAAAACTAAACATGTGCAATGAATTGAAAATAGGAAGAGTAAACTGCTAATAACTTGACAGTCCAGCTGAGTCCGTACAAGAGCACAGAGCTTCACTGTTCCATCCTCAATATGCCTATTCATGTATGATTTCTATCAACAGCATTCAAATTAACTATCCACTATCCCCAACTGTGTTGCACACCAAGATTTGTTTTCCAGTCACTGCTACATGGTTTTCTATATTGTATTAGTTTTTATTGCTCAAGAACTGAAAAATACTATAAAAACAAAGTTTGTATAAATACATACCTTTTAAATAGTTGAGGGCAGCATCCACACAAGCCTGTGATACAAAAGTATTCATTGTTTTTTTACATTTAATATATTGGTATTGAACTTGAACAGTCCTTTCAGACTACTTATGTGGCTAAAATGCAGTGTTGTAGTGAATGGTGTATCTACAGATTTTTTAGCATACTCTATAGGTAAGAATATATGTACCATTAGCAGTGCAGAAGATAGTTCCACATTATAAATTAAGTTACAGCACATCTTATATTTTATTAGCAGAAGAGTATATTTTCCTACAGAAATCCTATCAGCTGTGTTAGCTGTCACCTTTTCAAACAACATTAACAGGTGGACATATTTTAATTACTGCATTTAATTTTTATCACTCAACTAAGAAATAGAAATGGGTGCATTTACAACCCAAGCACACTGCAGTATATAAGTCCATAACAATCTCCTTCCTTAAAATAAGGGTTAAAAAGTTTACCATATTTGTTAAGATATCAAATTTTAACCAGCTTGCATAGCTTCTCAAGTGCCTGTAGATCCTAACCATATCAGACCAACACAGTGGATGACATAGGAAATTAAGAACAGAATGTAGCTGAGTTGGGGCAATATGGTCTGCCAAATACAGCTGTTTTTATTTCAAGTTGAATACCAGCACAAAGTTCTATCTACTATATATTATTAACTATCCTCACCACAGAAGAGCAGTTTAATTAGTAGTCTGGTATGAAGATTATCAAGCTGTCAAATATACTGAAGATATCTGTATGCACACATTGTTAGTTGCTTCATTCTTTATGTATATGGAGAGAACTACAGAATTCTGAAGAACAAAACCCTATGCAAAACTAACACACTACCTTCAAAAATCTGAGCAGCAGCAGCAGCATATTTCAGATGTTGAACTAGTTCCATTGTATATGCCTGTACAACCAATGAATGTACAGATGTTATGGTATATCAGAGAGCTTGGCTACGTAGTTATTACACCAAAGCAAAAAAGATGGGATGCTTACCCATACCCTGGTCTCACTTGTGAAACTCCAGCAGAGCAGATCTCCAGAAGAGATCCTTCCTGCTGGTAGTCAGCTCTTAACTGGGTCTAGGAGAGGTGGAGCCTGGCTCCACCTCTTCCAGCAGCACAGGTGAATTGCCTTCACCTGTGCTCCTGTGGCTGACTCATTGCTCACCTCAGGTGATTAATCAGAGGTTCAGGCCATGATTTAGCAGTTCCCATACCATGCCAAAGAGTTACAGCAGCAATTAGAAATATATAAAATTAAGGAAGTCTCATTACATATTAATAAATGATCAATATGAAAGAATTGAAAAAAATAAGCCATTCCTGTGTTAATAATTACTTGATTTTATTTTACAGTATATTTGTGACATTTTATGTACTATAACCAAAGATCAGGGTTGTTTACAAATATAATGGCTGCCATTTAATGTAAACAATTAAAAAGTGTCTCTAAATATTAAAATTTTACATCATTAAATTCACTTACTCTTTGTGCCATCAGGTATTAGAGGAGAGGAACTAATTTAAGCAAAAATAGTTTTCAGAAATTAGATGTAGAAACTGAGAAGCTTGAATAGCATTTTAAAAGATCACTCTGCCCATCACTGTAAAAAGGAATAAAGCAAATCCTTTCACTGAAGTTGCAACTAATAGTCAAACCAGTCCATTTTTATTAAGGCTTCTTTACATATTATTGAATCCCATCATGCCTTTCATATTCCCAGCAGCACCTTGTTGGAACTGTCTCATCATTGACTGCAATCCTGCCATGCCACCTACAGAAAATAAGCAAGAATACGTGTGTGTTGATTAGTTCTGAAGCACAGCTATCTTGCTTCACAAAAACCCATGTGCTGAAAAGAGGCCATTTTGGTAATATATGAATGAAAAACCAAGACTCAACCAGGCTTAAATAACTATCAAAATATGGGCATCTGACAACAAAATTACAGGAGGATCTACAAACAAGGCTTAGTAGATTTTAAGATGACCTCTTCATTAAAATCTTAACAAAATAAAAAATCTTGAAGGAATTACCATTATCAGCATGCAAGACTTGAATATGGAAGTTTTTACTGAAAGATGTTAATGTGAACATTACTTATCTGAGGCAAACCCTGGAAGAGGAGAGAGGTTCAGAAATGCACTTTAAAATAGACATGCTTGAAGTGATTCATTATTTTGTCAGACACTACTCCAACTGCTCATTTTGAGACCTGAATCCAAATGAAGAGTCTAGAAAAAGCATTTCTAAGTGCAAAGTATTCATAACACATCAAGTAAGCTTTCTGATTCTTGTTAGAAGGCATGGAGACACTTAATACTGATACATAATGAACACGTTTTTACATCACCCTCAATTCCATAATATCTCAAATGGATGAAATGTAACAGACCCTTGTTGAAGCCATAAAAAGGCAATGCATACCCATATGATGAAGAACTCTTGGATCCATCATCTTCGCCATCTGTTGGTTCAGCTTAGCCAGCTGTGATGGGTTTACATTCTTGGACATATCACCACCTTAAAGAAAATGGAAGCAAAAGAAGCAAAGTATATTAATGTACAAGGCTAAAAAAAAAACACCAAAATTGTGCATTA